AAAAAAAAAAAAAACCTTTGAAAAAGGAACTACCATACAATAATCGCTAAGTATCAAATGAATATCCAGCCATATTCACCCTATTCAGTTTCACACAGGCCTGAGTGAAAGTCTGCACGCAGCCTACCCTGATGCCTGAGCTGGCTGCCCCTCTACCTCCATCACTGCTCCTGCCTCCAGATGCAGTGACAGAGCAGTGATGATGACCTTTCCATGTACCCAACTCGCTATTCACATCTCCCACACAGATGCCCACCCTATGCCATCTCTCCCACAGCCCTGGCCACTCCACACAACACAGCAAAGTGTCTGTGGACCTTCTCATGTAGGCAGGACAAAGGAAGAGGAGTCTACCTGAGACCTCATTTTACTCCAAACACCTAAAACAGGGTCCAACAGATAGCTGGTGCCAACAGATATTCATGAAATGATTAAGAAGATAAGTCTCAACAGTGAAGGAGAGGAGCTTCTGAGGAGTCCATATAGTGGTCACACCCGTATACAATCAGTTTGAAATCCATCAAGGAGAGGCCACTTAGCACTATAAGAACAGGGAGGTTTCTCTAAATAAAGTAATCACATTTCACTGATATATCATGGGGACAATTTTGCCATCCAGCACACACTGACTAGGTTTAGAAAGCTTTCACTGTCTTTATTTCCAACCCATACATTTATGGCAGTATCAAGTAACCCTTAAGTACACAATTACCAACTCATAAGAGACTCTTCGGTTCCCATGATACATCATTATGGTTTGGCTTTGACCCTGCACCTGGGTACTCTACTAATATACACACACCCTGACTCTGCCACCCACCCAAACACAACCATCCCCAGTGTGAGGGAAAAGAAGTCAGCCATGCCAATTTACATGAAATCCAATCACAGCACTTGGGCAATCTAAGTCCTCTGTTGCCATTTCATCCTCTCACATTGTGCAAGGTCCTCAGTTCCCTTTTCACTTGAGGAGTCCTGGCCAGAAGTCACTTGTCCAAAGCACTCCAAATTCCATGGATATGTGCTGTGAATAGCTCGGGGACCATGGGCACCTGAAGGAGAAGCCTGCCCCCCACCCCCACCAAGGCACCCTCCAGAGATCCCATTGTCCCTTCCAAGGAAGGTCCTCTGAATGCAGTCCATCTCCAGTCTCCCATCTCTCACCAAAGCCGGTACTATCAATAAAGTTTTTCATCTGTGTCTACACCCAAAT